TGGCCACTTTTCATGTCAGTCAAATCCCTGCTTCGGAATCCTGGAAGTTTGTGCGGGTATTTGTGCATTAAATTGTCACTAAAGTTCACAAACATTTTTATTTTGCGTGAAAATTCTCCTTGTTAATTTTAAGCACTTTACAACAAAACAAGCCAAATTTCCAGGTATTCCAGGACTTGAATTTCTTATAGCCAAATTCAAGCACTTTAAGCACCTTGTGCGAACCCTGTTGGATGTATCAATACAACGTTAGTCCATTTTACAGTAATAAGACAAATTTTCTATTGGTTTCCACTCTCATGTTATAGGCCTAGTGCTATTTTTTTTTTACAATTTTTAACCTATTTTTAACCTTACTAACGTTAAACCTCACTGAAATGTTATTGAACGCTTTCATTAATCTTTATCCTATAATACATAAGCCGTATTGAGTAATTATTAGAAATTTGTAATAACTGTAATGCTAACGTTAATTTAAGCAGTATGTTGGAGTGATAACATTAAGTAAACATGCGATCAAAAGAGGAAAATACTATTTAACTCGACGCATTTCTTAATTAAGTTAATAACTAATCACTCAGTGAGTCCCAACGTTGACATATGATGATAAATATTTAAGTAAAATTACTTCAAATGACAAATTATCACTTACCTGAAGCAACTGACGAGGAGAAGGTTTCGCGTGTTTTCCAAATGCAATCCCAAAGTCAGTTAGAAGTTGATTTTTACTGATGTCAGCCATAGCTGAGCCTTACTAGGCTCTTGTGTGTTTTTTTGTTAACTGGCCCACATACTGCAAAAGGAGTTGTGAACCAGAAGAACATTCCCGCCTTTTCTGAACATATGGCAAAACATATATGGCAATAATCTGGCCCATATCTGTTCAGCCATGCCATACCTCAGCCACATGTGCCAGCCACAGCCACATGTGCCAGCTATAAGCCCCTTATCCCTTTCAACCCTAGCAACGCCCCTGGTTTCAGGTACAGTCTAAGAAAGCTAGCATGCATATTAATGAAGTTGCAGCGGATACATAATAGAGCGCACTGATTGGTTTGAACTAAGCAATACTCATGAATCAATGCAACACACTCAGAGACGTAATACGGGACTCCCAGGTACAGACGTCCAGTCTACACGCTGGAATACACGCTAAAACGTTTTAGTGAAATATATGTGTCCTAATAGTTTTTTTTAGAAGTGAGGGACACATATTCGACTGTCAACAGCTCAAAAAAATGTGTTTTGGTGTGTCGTGACTCTTTAAAGTTAGACAAAACTGATGTATTACTTATTAGGCCAAAATCTTACCCTACCCAAAACAAACTTAAAAATTATAATTCATTTTAAAGAGCCCATATTATACATGAAATAGGGTCATATCTTGGTTGTAAAGGTCTCCAACAACAGTCTAATATGCATGCAAGGTCAAAAAACACTTTCATGGTCTTATAATCTGCATTTATTTTTACCTAATTATCCCAGCGACTCCTGTATGAATCGTCCAGTGATTCATTTTTTCCCAAACCCCTCCTTAGTGCGAAGCTAATCTGCGCTGATTGGACCGATGACAGTCTGTCGCGATTGGTCGACTGCCTTCAGTCAGAGAGTGAAATGCCCAATAGCTAATCAGCAATATAAAAGTAATCACAGTTCATACACGCTCGATAGTTTAGGCGTGGATTTTAGCTGCCACACACACACACACCTCCGGACGACAACGCTCCCGCTTCTGCCCGCACCCGCCAGGTTTTAGCCTGAACCTGACCGCTCCCGCTTATATTTAGAATTTCTTGTCCCGGTGCCCGACCCGCCCCGTTTTCTGCCCGCCGCGCCCGATCCCGCTAAAGAGCGGGAGAGAACATAACCGAAAATCACCCAGCTAAACAGTCCAGACAGCCAGACAAAGCTCTATCTCTCTCTCTCTCTCATACGCGCGCATACACATACACACAAGCACCAAGCAAAGACACAGGCAAAGCTCTCTCTCTGTCTCATTCGCATAGCAATATCCACGATATTGCTAGACAGCCCGCTCCCGTCCCAAATTTAACCCGTTACCGACCGCTCCCGCGATTTATTCGGAAATTTATTCCCGGGGCTGTCCCCACGCCAGATGCAGACTTCTACCACGGAGCTCCGTAAACAAAGCAGCACGCGTCGCGTTTTTTAACGTGACTTTGCATGCGATAAGAGAATATAGCCAGTTAACCTGATACAGTACACTCGGTTACAAGTAACAAATCACAACTAAATACATTTGCAAGCTAGAGTAAACGAGGCAACAACTTTAATCGCACGTACTTACACTTGAGAAATGGAGGAAGAGACCCATCCTGACATGTCCATCAGTAAGTTAACTTACTTTTTACTGATCCTTCCTTTAACAAACGCAGATGAAGTATTCTTTGTAGCATGTAGTTTCCAGTAGTTTCCAACTGCTTGGTTATAATGCTGAGGTTTCATCTCTGGGTAGAGAATCAATAATATCCATCTGCAGTGTGACTTCAATCGACCGGCATGTTTGTGTGCGTGTGTTTGTGGGTGTGTGTGTGTGTGTGTGTGTCTGGGTTTCTGCGTCAGAGGGCGGGGCCTCAGGCTTGAAATCTCCCGGGTTTGCGCGTGCACGTGAATAACTTGGTTTCGTTCGTACGTCATGGCGAAACACCTAATGACTATGAGTCGACTCTTTTATAGATGAATCAACCGTTTTAAACACTGTATTCTTACAGATTTAAGCCTTAGCTGGATACTTCACTTCACTTAGAGCTGCGTTACACACTACATGGAGGGGAATTTTCAAAAACCCATAATATGGGCTCTTTAATGTTTTCTTTGAATGAGAGAACAGAATAAATTTCACATAATTGGGAAGTAAATATTCTAGCCTACAAGACTGGTTACTTAAAGAGCCCATATTATACATGAAATAGGGTCATATTTTGATTGTAACTGTCTCCAACAACCGTTTAATATGCATGCAAGGTCAAAAAACACTTTCATAGTCTTATAATCTGCATTTATTTTTACCTAATTATGCCAGCGACTCCCGTATGAATCGCCCAGTGATTCATTTGTTCCCAAACCCCTCCTTAGCGTGAAGCTAATCTGCGCTGATTGGACTGATGACAGTCTGTTGCGATTGGTCTACTGCCTTCAGTGAGCGACAGAGTGAAATACTCAACAGCTAATCCGCAATAAAAAAAGTAATCACAGTGCATACGCCCTCGATAGTGTAGGCGTGGATTTTAGCTACCTGTGGGTCAATGTAAATACAGACAATGGACTTGAAATTACCGACGACTAACTATTTTATTGAGCAAAAACTCCAAAAACTGTTGAGGAGATCTTCTAGCTTGTCTCACTCTGCTCTTTTTACAGACACACACACACACACACACACATATTGCCCTCGTCCTTGCGCGCGCTCACACACACACACTACCCTCCTCCACAGAGCTCCGTAAACAAAGCAGCACGCGTCGCGTTTTTAACGTGGCTTTGCACGTGATATGAGAATATAGCGAGTTAACCTCATTCAGTACACGCGGTTACAAGTAACAAATCACAACTAAATACATTTGCAAGCTTGAGTAAACGAGGCAACAACCTTAATCGCACGTACTTACACGAGAAATGGAGGAAGAAACCCATCCTGACATGTCCATGAGTAAGTTACTCTTTACTGATCCTTCCTTTAACAAATGCCGATGAAGTATTCTTTGTAGCATGTAGATTCCAGAAGTTTCCAGTAGTTTCCAACTGTTCAAAGCTTGGCTATAATGCTGAGGTTTCATCTTTGGGTAATGACTCAATAATATCCATCTACAGTGTGACTTCAATCGACCGGCATGTTTGTGTGTGTGTGTCTGGGTTTCTGTGTTAGAGGGCGGGGCCGCAGGTTTGAAATCTCCCAGGTTTGCGTGTGCACGTGAATAACTTGGTTTCGTTAGTACGTCATGGCGAAACACCTAATAACTCGTTATCAAGGTGACTCGTTTGAAGCACTATGAGTCGATTCTTTTATAGCTGAATCAACAGTTTTAAACACTGTACACTAACAGATTTAAGCCTTAGCTGGATACTTTACTTCACTTAGAGCTGTGTTACACACTACATGGAAGAGCATTTTCAAAAACCCTTTAAAAGTCTTGTTCGGGCAAATTCAGTGCGTTTTTGGACCCTATTTCTTTTTTTTCTTCAAAACTTACTAACCGATTGTAATGAGACTATGTCTGGGCACTACAAGTCCCAGCAGGCTTAGCGCCATGCAAGGAAGTGTTGTTGTTTATGTGCGGACACTTTATTTCCTGTTTGTGGCGTAAATTAACAACAGGTTGTAGATTGCTCAGCGCTATATAAGTGATTCATAAAGTTTGTTTGCCATTTTGCTGTCGTTGTTGCATTCTGGTCGCGGCACGTAAAGGCCGGTAGGTAGTAAGTTTATTTGTGTGATGTGCGGTCTCTCTCTCTTTCTCGCGGAGTTTCCTTTTTTTTTTAACGCATGCATAAACTGACATATATAGAGTCAACACTTCACGTGAGGGTTAGCTGATGAGCAAACAACATTTAATGCTGCCAGATCTTCATTGCGAACTTATTTAAAGAGTAAGTCGTTATATAATTTTAATAAACCGTTTTTAGTATTGTGTTTTAATGATATTATCCTTTTTATTTCTAGTGTTATTACGGAATCATTAGCCCCTTTCACACATACAGACCTTTCCGGAAAATTGCCGGCAATTTTCCGAAAAGGTTGTTTGTGTGAACAGGTCCTTTTTGAAAATACCGGTAAATTCGTTCTGGCTATTTTCCGGAAAGAGAAGTTGTAACATTACCGGCAATTTGCCGGTATTTTGGAATGGATGTGTGAATGCTCTTTTCCGGAAAATTTCCGTAACGTCCTCGACTGTGTGAACAGCGCTTTTTTGAATATACCGGTAAAGTCGTTCCGGAAATTTTCCAGATATTTACCGGTATCACTGTGTGAAAGGGGCTATTGTCTGCTGATTGTTGCCTGAGTGTCAGCATGGGAAATTAAGGATCTTAGAGGTATTGTTCAAAACAAAAGAAGGGTTTTTATCTCTATCTTAATGCGTGTTTTATTTATAGGATGTTTTATTCTGTTTGTGACTTTTATATTCTGAGTTTCTGTGTTGTAATAAACTGTGTTTCCCCTTTTTAGGGATGCACGGTTGCCGTTTACTTTAGACTTACAATAATGTTTTTGTTATTGAATCTTGTTTGTTGACTTTTGTTGTATGCGAATTTAGGTTGTTTATTATGTTGCTAGGTTGACAACAATTTGTATTTGTATTTTCCTTTGTTAAACTTTTCTTTCTTTTGTAGGTTCTGTTTTGGATTTGCTTTACCATCAGTGGCCACTGGGTTCCCTGCACTGTGTGGATGGCGGTGGAGAAAAGGTAATTGGGATTGTGTGGTGATTTGGTCACTGTTGATTTTTGTGTTTTTTAGGTTGCAGTGTGATTGCTGTGAGCTGAGTGTGGTGAAAACACTGCTGCTTGGGTACCTCATCTGTCCTCACTTTCTGGTTAACCGGTGGCCATTAGTGGTTTGTTTTTTTTCTTTTCTTATATTTAGTTTATTTACTTTTTCTTCCTTGTTTGCAATAGAGATGGAGACAATTTGTATACTACAACTTGTGAAATAAAATATCATTGTTCTCCTAATTGTAAGTCACTTCATTTACCCTCTGCTAAATCATTAACACTGACAAAAGTCATCTGGTCACACATGCATAATATTTTTTCCTAAAAAACACAAATCATATACATTAATCTGTCTCACATATTAATGTAGCACATTTTGTGCTGAATACAAAAAAAAATGTTGGCCAGTACTATTTAATAAGTAGCTGAAATAAGCACAAATGTCAGGGCATGTCAAGACACGTCAGGGGCCACAAAATCATCTCAGACCCCTGAGGGTTAACATATCCTCACAGCTATTTTTTGTCCCTTAAATTACAGAGAGGCATTAATTTACCTGCGTTGTCCCCCACAATCTAAAGAAATGTGGTATAAGTTAATTAAATAAGCTAAATTGGCAGTAGGGTATGTGTGTGCATAAAACATGCTGGATAAGTTGCAGCTCATGCCGCTATGGTGACCCTAGGTTAATATAGGGACTAAGCCGAAAAAAGACTGGATTTAGACGAGCATGTTTTTTTTTTTTTTTTTTTGAAGAAGAAGAAGAATTGAAATATTACACAAAGTATATCCAAGACCATTACAATAAGTGCAAAAAACAACAACCAGGAATAATAATAAAACAAAAACTTAACAAGTGAAAATAAATAAAATATAACATAGTACTTAAAAAAGAGGACACAATCATCGACTACAGCGAGGGATTAGTACCAGAAAAACTCCTCCATGAAATCTAATGTCAAATCATTTTTATTATTATTATTTGGCATTAGGGTCTTTTTTTTTTTTACATTTTGGCATACACTTCACAAATGTCTATTACCGTTTGGGAGGAGAACTTTAGTGTGCCAGTGATTCAGGCAATCATCACACAAGCAGCCAATTGTTCTCTTCCTGATGGCTGCATTTGATTGGCTGTGTTTTGGGGGTGGGACAGAGCTGTTAGCCAATAGAGTTGCTGTCAAATTGTGTAGTTCTGAACTCTCTCATAAAGATCATTTACACATTGTTGCACTATATCAACGACAATCACTCAAAACCAAGTCATATAGTCTAAACAGCATAGCAATCTGTGAAGGGTTAAAGTCATGTAGTGTGAACTAGGCTTAAGTTAACCAGTGTTTATACTTTAATATCTGTCCCAACATGAAGCCTAACATGTATATCTTTACATGAGCTTAATAATAACGCATAAAAAAAGTAATTTCATTATTTCTATTACTATTATTACTGTTTTAAGTAATCATTCTTTATCTTTATGTACCTTTTTGAATGTTCTGGCGCACTTGGCCAAAGCCCTGGACATACTACAATCTGATAAAATGGCTTACAAAGGAGTGCTGGTGCCAACATTCTCGATTCTTCTCAATAGAATGGAGCAGATGAAACAGGAGACAAGCCTGCAACATTGCAACCCACTGGTAGATGCCATCATCAATGGGGTAAAAAAGAGATTTGGTTGCTTATTCCAAGATGCAAGGATGCTCAAAGCCTCTGCAGTTCATCCTCGGTTCAGACTTGCATACATCCCCAGTAAGAAAAAAAAAAAGGTAGTGTCGAGGCTAAAAGAAGAGGTCAACCTGCTTCTGTCTGAATATACAGACAGTCATGTGCAGACAGATGATGAGGACCCAATAGATAATGATGAAATAACTATTTCCTATCATCACACATAACAACAGCAATGCTGAATGAAGTGGACAGCTTTTTGCAATCGAATGAAACCAACCTTGTCAATGGAATGATAAAAACTGTGAACAATGAAGAAGATCTTCCTAAAATACAACACAGGAGTCCCTGCTAGTGCAGCGTGTGAACGCCTCTTTAGTGTAGGAAAAGACATTTTCTGACCAAAGAGAAACCGTCTTACCGATGAAAATTTTGTATAACTTCTGTTATGTCGTGCAAATAAACACGTGATGTTAGAAATACATCCAGCCTGGCCATCTCTTGATATGTTGTGACAGAAACATGTTTCCATTGTAATGAATCACTGACATTGTCATCCATAGGCTGCATGCCACAACAGGAACCTTTTTTTCTCATGGAACCAAGATATGGATATGCAAGGGAATGATGGGTGTACACCTGAAGCAACGACCCAGTCACGCCACTTCAGTGTGAGAGGCGGGGACAATCAACCCCTCCTCCAGCAAGAAGCAGGACTGCGAGAGGTAGAGGGTAGACAATTCACAATCAACAGGCCTTCTGTTAATAGGCTGTTTAATCACCAGTGCCCATTGTTCCCCTCGACTCTCTGTCTGTAGAACAAAGGTGCAAACTACCTGGGCCATTAAAGCCACCAAATCAGTTCCAGCTAATCCTGGAAACAAAGTGAGCCAGTACAAGCAGAAACTGCAGTTACATATGTTGGCTCTAAACCACTAAAAATAGAAAAGAACTGGAAGGAAAACATACCAAGACGATATATAATCATCCAGGAAACTATTATTAATAATAATCAACAGGATCCCACCAATTGATGAGGGAAAACACAGAGGAGTGTTACCTTAAACAACTCCCTTTATTCTTGTACTCTATGAGTTCAGGACATTGTCATAAGAACTTTGGAATGGATGTGGAAAAGAAATAAACCATTTCTAAGGTCCTAAAACTCTGTTTTGTTTAACTGTGTTCTTTGGGAGAAAACAACAAGCTTCGCAAAATTGAAAGGTGGGACATGATGGGTGTACACCTGAAGCAACGACCCAGTCACGCCACTTCAGTGTGAGAGGCGGGGACAATCAACCCCTCCTCCAGCAAGAAGGAATATAGCCTTCTCCTACAGACACACCCGGGTTCTGAGTTCCTACCTGACAAGGAAGAGACAACAGCACAGCCAGAATTTATTATTGCAAGTAAACTTGATCAGCAAGATTCTTCTCTCCTGCTACAATAATCTGCTACAATGGAATTAATTTCCATCATCTCACCTGTATTCCTTTGGCTAACCCAATGATCTTCAGGATCACTGAACTACAGGTTAAGTTATCAAGATGGCACCGAGCATGGCTGCCGTGTTGCGAGCTCTTAGCAAACTTTGTTGTGTTTTCTGTGTTTTACTTGTATTTTTGTTGTTTTTCATGCCGGATGTACACACTCTCATTCCCTATGACAGACACACACTTCAGGAAATTGGCTCCCTCGTTGTACATCAAAGACCTAACTTTGAGTTCTTTAGCGACACTCACAAAAAACACAGCAGCAGTGTGGACTCTTACACTGCGCGGTTAGAACGAAAGAACTCACAGGGAAATGCAAAGGAGGAGGTGTGTGTTTCTTTATTAACAACTCATGGTGTGATGAGAGGAACATACACCTAGTTAGATAATTTTGGTCTCCTAATCTGGAATATCTTATGCTTTGGTGTCGGCCATACTGGCTACCAAGGGAGTTCACAGCTGCTATCATTACGGCTGTGTACATACCCCCTTAAGCCAACACAGAGCAGGCGCTCAGGGAACTGTATGGAAGCATAAGCGAGCAGGAAACCGCACACCCGGAGGCAGCGTTTATTGTTACAGGGGTTTTTATACAATGCCAATCTTAGGAAAATCGCTCTAAAATACTATCAAAACATCGTGGGGATCACATTCTGGAGCATTGCTACTCTCAGTTCCGGGACGCATACAAATCCCTCCCCCACCCACCGTTTGTCAAATCCGTTCACTCTTCGGTTCAACTCTTGCCTGCTTACAGGCAGAAACTGAAACAGGAACCACCCACCCTCAGGGCGTTGCAGAGCTGGACGGACCAATCGGATTCCAAACTTCAAGACTGTTTTGATCACGTGAACTGGGACATGTTCTGGGCAGCGTGTGACAACGACATTGATGTATACGCAGACACAGTCACGTGTTTCATCAGGAAATGCATAGAAGACGTGGTTCCAACAAAAACTGTCCACATCTACCCCAACCAAAAACCATGGATCAATGGTGAAGTTTGAACAGTGCGAGCTTCTGCCTATAAATCCAGAAATGTTGAGGAACAAAAACAAGCAAACCTCAGAAAAACCATCAAAGTAGCAAAACGTCAATACAGAGACAAGGTAGAGGGTCAATTTAACACCAACAACGCAAGGAGCATTTGGCAAGGACTTAATTACAGCACAGACTTTAAAAGTTACAAATCTGCCACTGTAAACATTACTACATCTCTCAGATGTAGATGGCATACCTGTATGTGTACTTAAAGCATGCGCACACCAGCTTGCGGGAGTTTTCACAGACGTCTTTAACCTCTTGCTCTCTTGGTCTGTGGTTCCCACATGATTTAAGACAGCTACTATTGTGCCCATACCGAAATCAGCTAAAACGACATGCTTAAATGACTGGCGTCCAGTTGCTTTGACACCCATCTTCAGCAATTGCTTTGAGAAGCTGATTTAAAACCACATCTGCTCTGCACTGCCCGCTCACACTGACCCTCTGCAATTTGAATACAGTAATAATCGCTCCACTGATGATGCAATTGCTTTCACCTTGCACACTGCTCTGTCTCACCTGGAAAACAAAAACACATATGTGAAAATGCTGTTTGTGAACTACAGCTCAGCATTCAACACCATAGTGCCTGCCAAGCTGGTGGCGAAGCTCCAGGATCTGGGTCTGAACAGCTCTCTGTGCAACAGGATCCCTGTCAGGAAGACACCAAGTGGTCAGAATGAACAACATCACCTTGTCCTCACTGATCCTCAACACTGGTGCTCCACAGGGCTGTGTTCTCAGCCCACTCCTTTACTCCCTGTACACACATGACTTCACAGTCAAACACAGCTCCAACGTCATCGTTAAATTTGCTGATGACACAACAGTGGTGGGCCTAATCACAGATAATGAAGAGACGGCCTACAGAGAGGAGGTGGACACTCTGATGCAGTGGTGT